GACTCACAACAACAATGAACAACAACAAAGACTCACAACAACAATGAACAACAACAACGACTCACAACAACAACGAACAACAACAACAACCAGTCTTGCCAGGTCAGGGCAAAGTTTCAGCCTTTCAAAATCATTTATGTCCCCAGATCCTGTCCCTGAAAAGTCATACAATCCCAGGTCCAAGAAGCTAATTCATTTACATATCACCACAATTTGCGTCATCCTAAACTCATGGCTTCTGCCTTATCTACATCACAGTCCCAACGCCCAGAATTTCCAGTAGATGTCTGGTGAGCCCCGCAAGGTCTCCCTAGGGGTCTCACCGTGCTCTCTGCACCTTCACAGAGTGACCTAGTGGCACCTCTACACACGGAGGGGTCTCTCCATGCGGGGTTCATGAACGCACCACACCTTTGGAGACGCTCGAAGGATGCCGACGAGGCACAGCTCTGTGGGCGACTCCATTCATCCTGGAGTTGCAGCAGATGTATTATAAATATTGACACTATAGGCATGGCAAACGCGTCAGAGTCGATTCGTTAACTACCCCCAACGGACGCACGAGAGGCGTGAGGAGCTCTGAGCTTGGCGATCTGCAAAGTCTGTTTTGCTCATCTGAAGACACGTCCATGATTTGCTGGGAAGAACGCCCCATCTTCATGCAGCTACGAAATTGACAGTTGAGCAAAAAGCTATTGTTTTCCAAAGCAGTTTATCTACTGGGCCAGGTGGAGGGTATTTTCAGCACATTCCTGTGGAGGGGAAATAGCCAAATATAAGGCCATAATGGGATCCAACCTCCATGGGCAGGGTTCGCCCCTCTCTCTCGGGTCGAGTTCTCCAGGGCAAGAGAGTGAGGACTCCACCCTACAAGACCTGACACCACGCTCTCTGGAGCAAGTGGAAGGCTTAGGGATCCCAGAGGTGTGCAATGGATTTGGGCCCATGATGGCATAAGCATGCAGACACCATCCTCAAATGCCATCCTCAGCATCCCCTTTCTGTGACAATGACATGGGGGCATAAATAATGTATATCGTAAGGGAAACCAAGAGCAACGTATCATCAATAATTTTCGTTTCTCACTTATTATGAAATGTATTTTTGCTGGTACTGCATTTATTTCTATATTTATGTATACTGTACATAATTTTACATAGTGAGTCAAATGAATCACTTTGAAATGAGGTAGAGATTAAATATATTAATAAAATAATTACTAAACGAAAACAATGTTTCATTTCTGTGCAGATGAGCTTGTGTGATTGGGATCAGATCTTTCTACGCTCTGAATACTTAAGGTCTTGGGTTTGTTTAATTAAGCCCTGCCCACAGACTAGAGGGATTATAGATGCCTCTACACACGGCTTTATGCTAGTCCGCCTCTGTCTCAAGGGAAAGTAAAGATCTAAACCCAGGAAACAGGCTGTGCCAAATCTGGGTTTCCTAAGGATTAACGACCTTTTAAGTAGGCCTCACAGACACATCATTTCTTCCTTATCAAAACCATCTCTGGCATCACTGCCTATACGCTACAGAAAGAAGAGGTCAGCTCTCCCAGATCTTTTCTACCATAGAAAACCCAGAAGGCTTCTCTGTCCACCACGAAGTTCTCGAGACCAAGTTTCCTTTACCCTCTAAACAGGAGCCAGCAACATGCCAGGAAGGACAGAACCCAGCTTTCCTGCGTTTTCCTAAAATAAATCAGTAGATTGGAGCTGGGGGTCTCTCAGCAACTGTAAGGGAGAAGAGAAGTTTTGGAAATTTAAATCCTTTCTCCCTAAAGTCTCTGCTACAAAAGGAAATGGCCAACCAGTGTGTTAGGAAAAAACAGAAACACTGAATCTGGTGGTTCAAACAGACCCCTGCAAAGCACGCGAGAAAACCATGGCTCCTGGCTGAATGTGGACTCACAAATCCAGCTAAACAGAACGAAGAAGCCAGCAGACATGTTCTGTGACTGAACATCACAAACTGGGGGCTATATTCCACTGGTGATTATCCAGTTAGGCTAGGGAGCACATGGAAGAACAGGTTTTTTTTTTTTTTAAAATCTCAATGTATATTGAGAAAAAGCTTAGTACATCAAGCTTGTGGATTTTTTGTCTTAGAACCAAAACCCGTTACCGTGGAGTCGACTCTGAGTCACAGCCACCCTACAGGACAGAGAGGAACTGCCCCATAGGGTTTCCAAGGCTGTAATGTTAACAGAAGCAGACTGCCACATCTTTCTCCCATAGCGGCTAGTGGGTTTGAACCGCTGACCTTCAGGTCAGCAGCCAAGCTCTTAAGCACTGCACCACCAGGGCCCCTTGATGTCTTCTAATGAGGCTAAATGCATTTTTAAATTGTAAAAAGTGAGGCATTTAAAGAAAATACATTGAGTAAATAACATGTGCCACAAGGAGCTGGAAAAAACCTGAGAAGATGGTATGTGGATTGCTAAAGTTAGGATTCTATTGTCCTATGAGGGATGGAGAGAGAGAGAGAGAGATGAAGCCCCGTTTCACCTTGATGACGTCTTCATCAGCCGACTTGCATTCCACAGAGTCCGACACGTCAACCACAGAACCATCCTCTTGAACGCCCACGACTCTGACGGGCACTGACACCGCCTTTCCAGTGAGAATTGCTGTGTTCAAAACCTCCGTGTCCTGGAATGGAGAGGAGAGGATGCAGGTCGGTGAGCATGCCACCCAGTGAGAGGGGAGGGGTACAGAGCACGGCACATACTACCTTAACTCTTGGTCTGCAAGCTTAGTAATTGAGTGGATGAAGTCACCAGGAGCACACAGAACAGAAAATTCTGACCAACCAATGGCACTCTGTCCCAGGCTGAGAAGACCAAGCCTGACAGCAGGACTTTCTTCCCGACCGGATGGAGGGTCAGCATTGCCTCTTCCAATTTCCATTCCCCTCTGGAGCCCTGGTGGTGAAGTGGCTAAGAGCTCAGCTATTAACCAAAATGTCGGCAGTAGAAGTCCACCAGCTACTGCTTGGAAACCCTATGGGGCAGTTCTACTCTGTTCTGTTCTACAGGGTCACTATGAGTCCGAATCGACTTGATGGCAATGAGTTCGGTTTAGAGTTTTTCTCCCCTTTACATTTAAGGTGTAAAATCAGGACAGGAAGCACTGCGGAAGTTGAGACGAGGGGAACTCACCAACAGAGGGATAACGGTGTGAATGTGGGAATAATCACAGTGGGTACAAAGAACAGGCACTGTCATCATGGTTCCAAAACAAATGGCGAAATTCACCTCAGTAATGCAATTTTAAAAATCAGCGTGGGCAGGGGTTAATTTTGCCTGCCAAGCATCCATCTCTTCTCCCACCCTGGTTTAATGACACTGGCTCACTTTTCCTTTGGGTATCAGCCCACTCCTGCTGCCAGTGAATGTGGCCTGGGTGGTGCTGACCCCAGGCCGCCCAGTCAGGCTGACAGATGAGCAATGGCCCAAGCCTGGCCAATCAAGGTGGTCCATCCCCTTGCCCACAAAGACCAACTCGAATTAAAGCCAAAGAAAGGAACCAGAGACCAGCTATACCTGAAGCCTGTTCGCTTTGGAAATTTACCTACTGAAATAAACTGCTTTACTTCAGACAATTTGGATTGGGTTTTCTGTGACCTGTAATTGAAAGAGTCGTGACTAATACATGTGAGCCCAGGCACCATGCTTGGCACTCGGAGAAAAGACTAAACATCAGTCATTTCCCACTAGAAGTTCCCAGCCGTCAAAGTAATAACAGAATTGCAGCAGTAATAGGGAAAAACTGGGCAGGGTTTTGTTCTGTTGTACATATGGTCGCTATGAGTGGGAACCAACTCAACGGTACCTAAAATCAGTAGTTAGAGGAGCTTCACCATCTTCACTGTAATAATCTTCCCAAAGTTTCAAGGGGCAGTGAATTTATTTTTCATAACAATAAATCATAACTGGCTCCACCTTACGATTTTCTCACAAATATCTTTGCAACTGGGTTTTCTCCTTCAGTTTTTTCATGGCTTCTGAGATGTTTGCACTCATTTTTTCCAGTGTCCATTAACAGCCTCTAAAGAAAAGCCTTTATTCTGCTCCTATTTTTGCAAGCTGTAGGTTTTATGCCTTGGACAGGTATTTATAGTCCTTTATGGGGATCAATTTCCATTAATGCCGCATGTTAAAGTGATGTTAGTGAAAATGGCAAAGGACATCCAAAAGTTCTCTCCTCCATAAAAAGGAGAAAGCTGGCAAAAAAAAAAAAAAAAAAAGGTCAATATCAACTGTAGCGCAATGGATCACTTTTATATGGCCTTTCTCACAGTTGTCTTGTAACTCCCACCCAAGTGGTTAGGTGGGACCATGAAAATAAGGTCTACAGAATACTAACAAAGGGATTGGTCAGTTTTGCCATCCTTCTAGACTTAAAATGAGCCATCCCAGAGTTGGGAGGAGAGGATCTCATCACCACCGAGAAAGAAGAGCTAGGAGTGGAGTGCATCCTTTGGACCTGGGATGCCTGTGCTGAGAAGCTCCTGGAACCAGGAGACCGAGAGAGAGATCTGTAACACTGGAGAGGGCGAGAAGCGACAGCAGAGAAACGGTGGCAGCAGAGGCAGGAGACAGTGCAGCGGGCTTCCCAGGCCCACAGAGTGAGAAAGCTTAGTGCCTTTGGGAAGGAGGCTTGCTGGCGGAGTAGGGTGCCTCCAGGCACTTGGTGGAGCTAGGCTTGCTGACCCATAGAACTAGAGCTGAGCACCTTCAGGCAGGGGCTTACTGATGGGAGTGGGGTGCTCAGGGCACTTATCAGCAGAGCTAATAGAACTTTGTAACACTTGCCAGAGCAGGGGCACAGAGAGGTGTGCCTGCAGGAATGGTTGAGAGAGTCTGTCCTGAGGGAAGAACTGTATCCTGAGCATTCCTGAACCTACACTGTAACCTGTTACTTCCCTAAAAAAAACCCATAACTATAATTATGGTCTGTAAGTCATGTGGCCGCTGCAGTGAATTACTGAACTCAGCAGAGAAGTAGAGAGCCGTGGGAGGGATGGTTAACATCAGAATTGGTGAAGATGGCAGAGAGAGGAGGCATATATGACCTCTGCCTCTTAGGGATCAGCCTTGGGCTGTTGATCTTGATTCTCCTTCCCCCTTGTGAAGTTAGAGGAGGTCAGATGAGGGCCCTGCCACGTCATTTTTACACAACTTTTTCAGAACTCTGGAAATTAACCAAAGGCTTGTAGCAACCCAGGGAGCATGTATTCAAGAAAAATGGGTAAATCTTGGTAAGAACAGAGAGCTTTCTGGCATTTTAACTTGACCTATACTCATGCCCTACTCGCCAGCTCTGGCAATAGTTTAAAACCTAACAGCCTGCCTTCTAAGTGAAAATCAGCAGGCTGGCAGCAACCGGAGGATGCACATCAGGGCTGGAGTCCTTTCAAAGCCTCATTCCCAAAGAACTGTCGTTATCTGACCTCTCTGGTGGTTCCCTGGAAGACCACCCTTGAAAGGCTGTTAGCATGTGACCTGACTCTGGGCCTTTTGCCTGGGGGCATTTGTCCAAAGCAATTGCAAGCAATTAACCTCCTGTTTGACTTCACAGCCACCTGAGTCAGTGGATAACAGTTGGGGCAAACAATTGTTGTTCTTAGATGCTGTCAAGTCAGTTCTGACTCATAGCAATCCTACCTACAACAGAATGAAATGCTGCCCGGTCCTGCACCATCCTCACAATCATTGCTGTGTTTGAACCCATTGTTGAAGTCACTCTGTCAATCCATCTCATTGACGGTCTTTCTCTTTTTCACTGACCCTCTACTTTACCAGGAATGATGTCCTTCTCCAGAGACTGGTCCCTCCTGATAACATGTCCAAAGTAAGTGAGACAAAGTCTCACCATCCTCACTTCTAAAGGGACAAAAGTAGGCTAATCAAAAAGCTTGAAAGTAAAAAATGACATGCCCAAAGGGGCTCTGTCATACTCCTGGGAGTCTTGAAGGCTACATCCATGTGTAGGGCTGTGCACATGCTCAAGAAAGACCTGAGAAGGCCCTAGGGTCTCTCCTCTGGCTGATCTTGTGGCTTCGTGAAAGCTGAGGAAAAACCTTAGTGAAGTGAAGGTCAAATTCCTGGCCAAGTGCTAAAGGCATCCCCCCAAAACTCATACAGAGGCCCTCAGTAAAGACAGGGAGACTTACTGATTCCAGGTGTTTAAGGAAATCTTTGGGTAATTAGCTGAACACCAAGCTAAATGAGCAGAGACTTCAAGGACCACACACAACAAAGAATACAGACTTCACAGAATTAGTTCAGAAAGTCACTAAACAGACACACAACAACTACTCTAACAAACAAACACACACACCCAAGGGGGGAAGAGCCTGGGGGGAGGGGGAGGAGGAGCGACGGCTTAAGTGGCGCTCAGTTCCTGTTAAGGGTGACGGAAAAATCTGCGAACAGATAGTGGCGATGGTTGCAGGACGTGGTGAACGTAGTTAATGTCACTGACGGTACACATGAAAATATTGAAATGGCAAATGTTTGGTTATATATATGTTATGGATTGAATTATATCCCCCCAAAAATGTGTGTATCAATTTGGCTGGGCCATGATTCCCGGTGTTGTGTGATTTTCCTTTATGTTGTAAATCCCGCCTCTATGATGTTAATGACAGAGGATGGGCGGCAGTTGTGTTAGTGAGGCAGGACTCAATCTACAAGATTAAATTGTGTCCTGAGGCAATCTCTTGAGACATAAAAGAGAGAAGGCAGCAGAGAGACAGGGGGACCTCATACCACCAAGAAAGCAGTGCCAGGAGAAGAGTGCATCCTTTGGACCTGGGGTCCCTGTGCAGAGAAGCTCCTAGTCTGGGGTAACACTGATGAGAAGGCAGAGAGAGAGAGAGGCTTCCCCTGGAGCTGACGCCCTGAATTTGGACTTTTAGCCTACTTTACTGTGAGGGAATAAACTTCTCTTTGTTAAAGCCATCCACTTGTGGTATTTCTGTTACAGCAGCACTAGATGACTAAGATAATATATTTGTACCACAATTTAAAAAAAGGCATTCTACTAACGAGAATCTTAATTTTTAGTAAAAACAGCCATGAGTCATGGCTCAAATTCCCAAGTCACGAGCACGTGTGGCTCCCAGTGTATTCCATTCCAGCCTCTCCCTAGCCTGTGAGGCTCTGGACAACAATCCTGAGGCCCACCAGCCCACATCCTCTACTCCCTGGCCTGGGAATATCTGCCTCTGAGAAGGAATCTAATTCTGACTGCATTTTGCTCTCAGATATTTTGACTTCTGATTTCCAAAGCTGCAAGGCAGATGAAAACTTCACTTAGAGTAAAGCAAGTATGTTGGCTACAATTTAAATAATGATTTTCAATTCCACTGCTGTGTATTACATAACTCTGAAATCAGCCCAGTCTCCTCACTTAATGGTTATTTTTGGACTCTGATAATTTATTATCCACAAGGCAGTATGCGATTTCAAAATGCAGCTCTTTATCAGTCCTTCAGTAACAAGAAGAAAGTTATTTCAAATACAGCAGTACTCAGAGAGAGTCAATAAAACTGTAACTCTGTTAAAGCAGTGTGCTGATGTCTTCAGGCGGTAGCTAGAGAGGGAAGAGGGGAAACTGTTTGGAAGGAGCTTCTCTAGCTGTAC